AGAGAGAGAGAGAGAGAGAGAGAGAGAGAGAGAGAGAGAGAGAGAGAGAACCCAAAACAAGAAGTCTTTAGATGGCTGATTATCTTTAAAGATCAAAAGTCATGTATTGGTAATGTAAGTCTGATAAATCCACACACACAAAAAAAGTGATCACTAGAAGACTTTGAATTATGCCATTTTAAAGGGGAAAAAAACATGTTTTGTAGGTGTAGCAATGGTTAATATAGTAGAGGAATAGATTATATATTTCTACATCAATATCATCAGTAGTTTCCAGGTCTGTGAACACTGCCAGATTGTCAAGAGGCCCTGAGTGTGAAGTTGGACATTAACCACAAGCACCCCTTGCCCCTCCAGCCAAGGCTCTAGTGAGAATGGCTTCCCTAGACATAGTGTTTGACCCCTGACCAAGAAGGACCATGAAAGCAGGTAGGTAGCTCAGTATTTGCCTCTGCTCATACTATAATATCTTGGCTGAGATAGCTAAAGAGTTACAAAATCACTATCAGTAAGAAATAGAACTATTTATCACAGAGAAGATGTTGTTTATATTTTAAGATACTGGTATTTATTTCACTTTTAGGACAGTTTTATCTGGATTTACATGATAGCAATTATTCAGAAAATCAAAGAAAACTGGAACTGCAAAAGGTTGTGTCTAGAAATTGAGTAATGTATTCAAAGTTGGGAATTGTGCTGGAATTACATATAGAGAGCCACTCTGTTGAAGACTATATTTTGTTGGCTTAGTGACCTCATCTCTTCATTGTGAGGTCAGGCAGATAGGACCTAGAGGCAGTGGTTTTACTCCCCTCAGGTGTAAATACAAGAACAATAATATTTTATAGACAGTGGTCTTTATAGACTGAAGCTTCAAATACTACCCAGAAAACTATAGCTAACACAACTCAATAGACCAACTATTCCAGTAGCATTCACTACCCCAGATGTTAAGTGTTTTCATAAAACACCTTTGGGGAATAGTTTCTGGTCAAGATGGCACAGGAGGCAAAATCTGTGTTCACCTCTTCCCACATTCACATAAAAATTACAGCTAAATTATAGAACAATTATCATTGTGAACTAGATGAAAAATAGCTGAATGGAATTTTTATAACTGAGGATATAAAGAAGATAACACATTGAGACTGGTAGGAGGGACAGAGATGTAGAATGAGCAGGTTCCAAACCCACAGTGTGGCAATTAAGAGTTGAGAGGGTTATCTTGGCTTCAGAGGTCCTCCCTGAGGAGTGAGGTATCCCAGCCCCACACAAGGCTCCCTAAACCTGGCACTAGTGCCGGGAAGAAGTTGTGAAAATCAGTGGAAATTACATCCCAGAAAGACAAAGGGCTGCTAAAGACTGAGGCACTACAGGTATTAAAGGGACGATGCACTGACTCACTTGCTCACAAACTCAATGGCTTTAAGCTCCAGTGCAAGAACAGCAGCTCAAAAGTACCCAGGGAAAAATGGGCAAGAATAAAATTGACTAACTTTAGTGTGAGGGCTGTAGGGACAAGGATCAGGGAAACTCTATCTGAGGATGAATTGCTGGCAGGA